GCAGAATTCCTGCGTTTCCTGAAAATCCGGCAGAGTTCCGGCGTCTTCAGGCGGCAGGAAGAGCTTCGGCGGTGGTCGAGGAGGTGAGGAATCTCCTTTTCCCCTTTCTCCTCTCCTTCTTCTCTCTCTTCACTTGAGCCCCCTTTTTGGTGTAGAATGAGGGCTCTATTTATAGTTTTTCTGGAGTGGCATAGCCCGTAAATAGGCGTGAGATCAGGGGCGAATTGGGAGTGTTTTGAATGGACGACCGATATCGAATCCTTTGATCATGCACCGTTCGTTTGGCATTTGAAGGCCATCATGATGTCGGAATTTGACGATCTTGGGCTCGTTGGATTCGTCTCGTCGAGCCGTTCGATTCGAGTATAAGCTCGTCAAAATCAGAGATCGTTTGGTAACTCAAAATGCAATTTGAACCTTCCAACAACGCTTTGAGCCCTTGATTCGGACCCATTTGGGCTCGAATTGGGTTGATCTTGGTGTCGTTGGGTTCGTATTTCTGAGACGCTCAGTTTGACTGTAAGCTTGCTGAAATTGGAGTTTGGGTGCTCCCGGATTTAATTTTAAAAGTTTCTGGGTTGGATTTTTTGGGCTCAATTGAGCCAATTATACTAGTCCAAAGTCAATTGGGCTTAAGATAGGATTTCTTGGGAATAACCTTTCGCCTGTTTTTATTTTATAAGAATAGCAGTTAGTAAAAATTAATATATCGAAAGATAAAATTTTCATTATTCTTTCAAACTTTTACCATTAAAAAGTTATTTAACCGAGAGAGGATTTTTTAAAAGCAAAAACAAAACAATTAAAGCTATCCCAAACAAAACAGGACAGACCATGTAATCATGTTGTCTTAATGAGGACTTATTTAGGCCACTGTAGGTAAATCTCGATCATAGTAGGTAAGGATAAACCAATTACAATCATTGTTTAGGCTTCGGTTGAAACAGCTTTTTTACTGCTTCTTAAAGCAGCTTTAAAGTACAAAAAATTTTAAATCATTTGGGACTCACCTAAGCTAATTGGGTCAAACCAGGACTATATATATGCTAAATTCTTCAACAAGAAAAGAAACCTGAACAAACACAAGCTTCATCAGGTCTTCTTTCAGAATAACTCAATAACATAATATTTTTTTCAGATTTCAACGGCAATCTCAATGTTCATCTGTGATTTTATGCGTGAAAGGTTACAGCATTCCATCTCCGGCAAAAATGTGTTTTGGGTTCTAAGGAGAAAGTGGCGTTTTTACAAATTCTACATATTGATACCTTATTTAATCCATAAATGGCGAGCACTTACAGATATTGTGCAGCAGGAGCCTGGAATTCTGTACTGCCAATAAATATTAAGTTGCTGGAGAATGAGAAAGCGGAGAAGAGCTCCCCTGCACCTTAACTTTCTCAAAATCAAGAGAAATTATTACGTGCGGAGTCCGGACATATCCGGACTCCACGACAAGTGTGTTTGTCCGGACACTATGCACAAATTAAGGACACGTGTCATGTTTTTATTGAAGTCTGGATGTAACTCTACGTCCGGACTCCGCACGTAATAATTTCTCGTCAAACAGAAAATGGGAGAGAGAAGTATGTTCCCCGTGGGCTGTTGGTCACTCAGTTATGCTCATTCTTAGACTATTCCTCATGGTTCTCCTCCCAATTCCAAGTCCCATGTTTCCCATATTTCCCTTACGCATCATTGCAACAAATTCACCATAGTCGATCCGGCCATCCTGCAACAGAACAAATGAAGTGATTGAAGCTAAAGAGGTATTTAGAGGATGAAAAGATTTGTTTCGACATCCAAGAGCGTTATATTAAGCTGAAGCTAAAGTAAAACTCTCATGATCATTTCTTGAACTTAGGGTGTGTGCGGTTGAATGAAATTCCAGATTAATAAGAAAATAACATAATTAGAAATCGATGATTTGCAACTAGTTTTGTTAGACCGGTCCGCTGGACCGGTCCAGGCGGGACCGGTTCACGGGCGAAAATCGCGAACAGGCGGAGAACGAGCGGTCCGTCCGCCCCCGTAGAGCCGTTTAGGAAGTTTTTTTGGCATTTTGAGAGGGAAATTTGAACGTAGGGACTGTTTAGGGAATTCCTTTTGATTTGTATGCATTAAATAGTTGATTTGGCTAGGGTTTGAGTATCTTGAATTTAGCTGAAATTTGGGATCTCTTAGATTTAGGTTTTCTTTGGGCTCTAGAGGCTTCTAGAGATTTGGGAGAGATCGATCCTCCTCTCGAATTGAGGATCAATTGTATCTTTGCTGTTTTCTTCTTCTACTAGTGGAATACAAATCTTGCTTTGAATTTTCTTTCCAATTTCCTCTGAAATTCTGCTGTAAACTGCTGTAAACAGTAGATTTGTTGTGTTTTTTCTACTGTGGACAGCAGTTTCCATCGGATCTACTTCAGTTTTGGTGAGAAACACTTGGGAATCCAAGTGTTTCCTATCAAGTTTCCTCTCATCATCATTAGTCTTGGCTCAAGTCTCAACTATTTTGAGTCAATTTTATGTATTCCACATTCTCCACTCAATCCTATGTGTTTGCACAAGGTGTTAACCTTATTTTGCGATTATATTTTAGCCCAATTTCTAGCCCATTAGATTTAGCATACCCACTTCTCTTCTACTTCTTCTACACTAGTTTTAGATACATGACTTATTACTGCATCTTCTATTTTTATTGTAAATGCCCAAACAATCTGAACCTTATTTCACCGCTTCATCTTTATATTGGGAAAGTAAAGCACATAGCGAATACAAAGAAGAAAGAAAAAAATGTAAACGGATATATAGAATATCAAGATTTAACATGGAAAAATCCTAAACTAGAAAAATACCACGGAACCACATCACAAAAGAAATTAACTATGAAAATTGAGAGAAATTTTTACATATCCACTTTTCTCTCACTCCCTTCTTATCTCTCTTCACCCTTGCACTGTTCTCTTACAAGAATTAAAAAAAAGAAACACACAAAAACCCACCAAGGGATGCAACTCTTAATGAAAAACAAGAAAGAAAGCTGCAGCCCATCTCGCAGAGCCAGATTTGGAGAGCCACAGTGCTCAACTATCTGTCTCTTGTCTGCTTGATAGTGCCGTAATGCGGGGGTTTAGAGCATTGCAGTGCTCCGCTCTATGTTTGTCACCAAGCAAACTACACAATGCTGCAACTCTCGGCTACATAGCGCCATTGCACCATACGATAATACTAAAAAAAATTGAGTGCAAAGCACTCAAACCCCAAGTAGGACCCCCGTAACCCCCCTGTGAGCTCGATCGATGGAATTGAATTCTGAGACAGCATTACAACATAATTGAATGACACAATAAATTTTCACACAACTATAATAGGTTGTACTCACATTTAATAGGTTGTACTCACATCATCCATCTAATAAAATCATATTTCTAAACTTTACCATTTCAAAAAAATCGAGATGGAGATCAGATGTGAATGCCAATCAAATATTTAGATTCTATACATATGTGTATGAGAATCAATATTTTTATGAATATATGCGTGTATGTTAAATTACAAAATAGAGAAAAATTTAATCGTGATCGAATCAATTTTTTGCACAGAGTTCAATCAAAATCAGACTTGACTTGGCTCAAGATTGAATCGAATGAAATGGAAGGGATATAGTGCCAGAATCAAATCACATCGTTAACAGCCATATCAATATGATATAGCCATCATAATTGCAATTTCATAAATTGTATTTATGTTACATGCCAAACTCTTACTTCAAAGTATTCCAGAGGTACCTTTCTATGTATCCTTCTGTTAGACTGGTCCACTGGACCGGTCCAGCCAGTCCAGTCGGGACCGGCTTACGCGTAATTGAGGCGGACATTCTCCGCCTCCAGCTTTAACCGCACGCACCACAAGAGCTAACGGAGCTTTTTAGGAAGGATTTTTTAGGGATTAGGGAGGGAAATTTGAATGTAGGGACTGCTTAGGGATTTCCTTTTAATTTCTATGCATTAAATACTTTGTTTTCCTAGAGTTAGGGCATCTTGAATTTAGCTGAAATTTGAGATCTCTTAGATTTAGGTTTTCTTTAGGTTCGAGCAGCGTCTAGAAATTTGGGAGAGATCAATCCTCCTGTCGAATAGAGGATCAATTGTATCTTGTTATTTTCCTACTGTATCTTTGATTATTGCAAATAAAAACTATTATTTTTCTGGTTTTCAATAGAGTTAGGAAGAGTTTTCTCGTTGTTTTTTTTTTTCAAAATTGATAGGTTTTACTTGAAATCTTCAAGTATTTTCTAACAATTTCATATAAACAAATGCATATAAAAAGCTTTCTTCTTCTCCATTATCAGTCTTAACATATTTTATGTAGATCCCCACTTTAGGAGTATGTTTCAATTGTTGTGTTGACAAAATATTTTACAAGATTTCATATAAACACATGCATAATGTGTTAACAAAAATCAAACTTAAAAAGATGTTACTACGCAACATGCATTTAACTTAAGCCTACTTGACAAAAGAATTTCAGAGAAAAATTGGCAGTAAAATGGATACGACCATGTTACTTACATTATCCTGATCAACTTCCTTGATAATATCCTCAATGAACACATCAGTCACGTTGTGTTCTTTACAAGCTTGCTGAAGCTCGTCAACTGTAATGTACCCACTCCCATCCTTGTCGAAGTATGAAAATGCAGCCACCAAATGTTCTTCACGCTCCAGCTTATTGAGGTGAACGGTGGCTGCAATAAACTCCCCATAGTCGATGGTGCCACTATTGTCAACATCCGCCTGAAATAGTTTTTTACCAGTTAATATATAATGGTAACTTTTTTTTTTTAATTGAACCTATTTCCTTTAAGTTGCAAAATAACCAAAAAATGAAAGAAAAACAATGGATAAAACAAAATAAGAAAACCATGGATATATATCTCAGTTCTCTCATGTACATATCCAAAACGGTTAACCTAAAGAATTTAGTTTCTATAGAAATCAAATTTGTGCCGTTCTAAATAAATCCAACACTCAAGAAATTGAAAGGAGATGAAATTGAACTTCGGAATTTTCTTGCAACAACAACAACAAGCCTTTATCCCACTATATGGGGTCGGCTACATGAATCATTTTTCTCCATTGTGTTCTGTTATCTACATCTAATAATAAAATATCATTTCTAATATTTTTCTAACCAAGCCTTTTGACGTCTATCTCTATCTTTCTTAATATAAGTCAAATCTAATGCATCTACTTTCCTAATCGGATCATCAGAAGGCTGCTGTTTTATGTAACTAAACCATCTAAGACAACTCTCTCTAATCTTATCTTCCACTGGTGCTACTCCAACTTTTTCATGTATATGCTCATTTCGTATCCTGTCTTTAAGAGTAAAGCCACTCATCCAACTAAGCATCCTCATCTCTACAACACTTAACTTAATATTATGCTTATCTTTTAGTGGCCAACATTCTGCAAAATAAAACAATGCATATCTCACTACCATCTTATAGAATTTTCCCTTAAGTTTGAGAGGGACATTTCTTTCACATAACAAGCCTGCTGCATTCTTCCACTTCAAACATCCAACTTGAATTCTACTAATAATATCCCTCTCTATTTAACCATCACTCTGAACAATAGACCCAAAATATCTAAAACATGTGCTTTTATTAATGACTTGATCTCCCAAAGTCACAATCCCTTCACTAGATCTATTATTACTAAAATTACACACCATATATTCAGTTTTAGATCTACTCAAACAAAAGCCTTTAGACTTTAAGGTTTACCTCCATAATTCAAGTACCTTCAACTTCATCTCTAGTCTTATCAATAAGAAGTATATCATCAGCAAAAAGCATACACCAGGGTACAACCTCTTGCAAATGTCTAGTGAGAACATCCATGCTAAAGCAAAAAGATATGGGCTTTAGCGGAAATTTTCTTTGGAAAAAAAAAATCAGAAATGGAGGTGGATGAACACGAAGAGTTTCACATAACTACAATTTCTAGATTTTATCCATATGAAGTTCCACATAATGTCTACTTTTAATCAGTCTTCATGACAGCAGAAGCGCAATCAATATGTTTCTGCATCAGGCAATATTCTAGATATGAGAAACATAATTAAAGACATCTTTCCAATAATTCTGACATCATTATTGATAACCATATCATTGGCGGTACAAACCACAAATTCTTTTATTAAAACTATCAACTTACAGCATCCATAAGATCCTGGATCTCTGTATCTTTTAATGTTGAACCATATCTTCTTAAACCAGCCTTCAGCTCATCAAATGTAATTGCCCCACTACTATCTGTGTCCATTGCCAAGAACATTTCTCGCAGTCCAGCAATCTCCTCTTCTGAGAGGCTTTCTGCTATAACCTGGAACAAATCAGAACAACATCTATTAGACAAAAATTAAATGATATGATGCGTAGGTGACGAAAAATCTAGTCCGAAATGCTAATATGCAGTGTCTAAAATAGATATCATACATGAAAACAAGTAAAAAACTACATATAGCATAAAACTTTTTATCCAATGATGCAATGACGAACATAGCCAGTTTGCAGATAAATGCAGTCCACATTTTTTGCTTGATTAATTTAGGAAAGATGTAAATGTCACATGAATATCCTCCAACAAGTATTCAGACTTCTGAAGGCTGCCCAATTTCTGGGGAATCGAGAAGGCTAACAAGACAAGAATCTTGACAGAAATTTTACTCACTCGCAGAGCCATCTTCTTCAATTTGTTCATAGCTGAGAATTGTTTAAGCCGAGTTAGGACAGCAGGATCCAGAGCCTGATCAGGAGCAACTCCATTCTCACATATCCAAGGATGACCTGTATGTAGGAAAAGTTGCAGATAATCTCATTTAGAACCATTCTTTTCTTACAAAATTAAAATTTCAACATGTTCTGGAAACTAAATTAGTTTTTGACTTACAAGGAAATCACTTATTTTATAGAATCAAATTTCACGGTTGAAAACTTTTAAACTATAAAAAGGACAAATTTAATTAAACATCTAAAGAAATCTCAACAATGAAGAGAGCCCAGATTTCAATTTGTCATAAACTGAAGAGATAGTACATGGACAACATAAGATGCTCATGCATAATTTAGGTGTATTCATTAATGTACAGTTGTCACTAACAATGAACAAGAATCTATTGTTTCGATGCCACAAAGCCCTAAATAAATGCTAGTGTTAATTAACATTTAAATCACGTGGTTTACTTATAAATGTTAAAACCATACAGAAGCTAGAATATATATATATAATTCTATCTCTATATATATAACACTAGCATTTAACATTTATAAGTAAATGCTAAATGATTGTAAGATATCAACAAACTACATATTTGATTTCAAACGATTTGAAAATTTCTACACTTTGGAATTTCAATTACCATCTCAAGCAATTGAACTCATTCATTATGAAAATTTTAAAGCATCTAATTGATGTCAAATGATCATAAGTCTTCAAAATGATGCCTGCCACTTCTTTTAATGGTGTCAAAGAAGATAAATTATTCTATGTGGAGACCTCACGCAGAACATCATCTGGAGAAAAATCAGAATACACCATGATACCGAGCATAGGGATGACATGGCGCATTCTGGTTGGTCTCCGGATGACGTTTGGCGTCCACACGGAATAATTAATCGACAAAAAGAAACGATGGTTTTGATCATGCATTTGCAGAACACAAGAACAAGATGTATTTGGATGGAGAATGATATTCTAATCCTATGAGAAGAAAGGTTCTCTCCTATATATACGATAACATGGCCCACAAAATTTGAAAATATTAATTTGATGTCATCCATGCCTCTCACTAAAGCCAAAAAAAGTCTTGAATTAACTTACCTTAAATTTATGATTACAATTGGCTCTCCCACATGTACACTCAAACTAGCATTAAATAATCATAATTAGAACTTGAATTCCAAATTCCCTTCAATTCATGAAAGTTTCTAAGTATGAAATAAAATATTGCTTTCCTTATCGTTCTAGCATATAAATTTCACGGCTCTGGGTTAACACTCTAATCTAATACAGCATATTAAAAAAAATCATGAAAATTATCTCCGAATAGATTTACTAATTGGAGGTTGAAAAAAAGAACTAACAGAGTACTTCATGCGCAGTCAAGCGATCTTTAGGAGAAGGGCAAAGCATTCTTCTGATAAGATCCTTAGCACTGTCGGATATCAAAGGCCAAGGTTCTGAATCAAAATCAACGTGACCCTTCAAAACTGCCTCAAATATTCCTTGTTGTGTTTCTGCAAATAACAGACAATGCCAGCCTCAGTTTCACAGACCAAAAAGATCGCAATGTAAGAGATGGGAATGCGTCAATGACCCACCAGCCCAAAAAGGCGGTACACCGCTCAACAATATATATAATATAACACCAGCAGTCCACACATCAGCTTCTGGTCCATAGTGCTTGCAGAGAACCTCAGGAGCTACATAGTATGGGCTTCCAACCACATCCTTAAAGACCTGACCTGCAGTAACAAGATGGAAATCAGAATACATTCAGTTCTAGTAATAGCCTCTCATTTAGGGAAAATTATTAGGTGCGGGCACTGGATAGAGAGAAATCATGTCTATAACAGTAAAAGTGCAGTCAAAGCGCACCTGCTACAGTAACTGCGCTTTGACTACTTTTATCTTTTACTATAGACCCAGAGAAACCCGGATAATTCTTTGTCCGAACCTAAGCACACTGACTCGAAAATAAAGATGACAGATTACAGTGCTTCTAATAAAGCCTTGAATGTTAGTTCTGAACATTCCAAGTAACAATCACTAAACATAAGAGAAACCATTTAATGAAGTTTTGTAAGATCAATTCACAATCTAAAATGCGGGAGGATAAATTTATTTGATACTCAAATTTAATTTGGGAGATGCCACTAAATGTTGGAGGAAAAAAACTTACGATCCAAATTTTTTTTTTTTTTCTTTTTTAGTTTTAAAAAGACTTCTACCTGGCTTGAAGAACACGGAAAGCCCAAAATCAATGGCCTTCAGAGACAGATCATCATCCTTATTGGCAAGCAAGAAATTTTCAGGCTTAAGGTCCCTGTGCATGACCCCAAGAGAGTGGCAGGCCTCAACAACTCCGACAATAATCTTGGTGAGCTCAGCAGCCTTTCTCTCGCTGTAATGCCCCCTATGAATTATCCGATCGAAAAGCTCCCCTCCTGCACAGACTTCCATGACGATGTGCACGTAGAGGGTATCCTCGTACGCGCCCTTTATCTTGACCACGTTCTTGTGGCCGAAAAGATGGTGCATTATCTGGATCTCCCGTCGCACGTCCTCCATGTCCTCCTTCGTGATCAACTTCCTCTTGGAGATCGACTTGCAAGCGAACTCTATTCCTGTGGCAATCTCAGTGCACAAATACGTCGTCCCGAACTGCCCCTGCCCCAGCTTCGGACCTAGAGTGTAGAGATCACGGATATTAGCGGTCCTGTGTCCGAGCACCGAGTTCGGTGGCAGTTCCATACCCCGCTTCATGACAGCGCTTTCCTGCACCGTCGCCGCGCAATTCCCGCCGCCGTTATAGACCTCTTGCTGCGCTTTCTCCGCTTGCTTCGCCGCCTCTTCTGGCTGCTGGTCGGAGGAAGACGAAGAGATGGTGTCACTGCGAGATGAAGACTTCCGCTTAGATCCCGCTGCCTCCCCTAATCTTTTGAAGTACTTACCCCCAATTGATCCCCGGCACGTATTACCCATGAAACTATCGCATGGATCCTCGGACCCGACCACTGGGGGATCAAACCCCTGACCACAATCAAGAAAACGACTCAACAGCCTCAATATTCTGCGAACAGGAATCTCCAAAATCTAGGTTTCGCTGCGCAATCGGAGCAAAATCTAAGCCGGAGAGAGTGGGAGGATCAAGTTGAGATGGTGTGCAATCCTGGCTGGACCTGTAAGAAGAGGAAGCAGTAGGTAAGGGCTGATAATTTACAGAAAAATAATAGTTTTAAAGATTATTCCATTAGACTTACAACTGCGAATAAGACGGGAAGCAGGTGGAAGAAGCAGAAGAAGATCCGTCGACTGAGCTCAGACATGCCCTCATTTTTCGCGAAGTATCAAACATAAATTAACTGCGTTTAGTGACTGGTTGTGGGTGTAAACGACCGTTGCATTTCTCTTTTATTACTTAATCTGTCATTTATTTTGTTCTATATAAAGGCTCCTGTACACATTCTTTTAATTAATCAATTCAATAATAATTCTTTCTTTTCTATTCAATTTATTGATCAACTGAAAGTTCTCGTTTAGCTTTCTCTGTCTCTCTGTTTTCCTGTGTTCGGTTTTTCCTCTTTTCTATCATGGTATCATGAGCCAAACTATGGGAGATCAAGAATCCGCAACTTCCTTCCCTCCCGTCTCCGCTGCTCTCTCCGGCAACTCAACAACTGAAATCCACATTCCGCAGCAGCTCAAGTTCCTCATCTCCAACATCAAGAATCTCGTTCCCAACGCTCTCACCACCGATAACTACGCCATATGGCGCATTCAACTTCTCCAACAATTCACCGCGAACAGCTATGCCGGACACCTCACTGGCACCACTCCCTGTCCAACGGATGTAACCTCTCAAGAATTTCAGCGTTGGCAATTAGCCGACAACAACCTCCTATCCGCCCTCTTCTCCACTATTTCCCCACCTCTTCTTCCGTATATCATTTCTTGCACCACTACTCACGCGGCCTGGATCGTTCTTGAACGACGTCTACAGCCCACTTGCCGCTCGCGTGTCATGCAGCTCAAGAATGAGCTCCATCATGTACAAATGCAGAATTTGACTATGCAACAATACCTCAACCATGTCAAAGTCATTGTCGACAATATAGCCGCCGTCGGTTCCAACGTCGATGCAGAAGATGTCATTTTACACATTCTAAACGGACTTCCGGCTTCCTACAACCCCTTCAAAGCCGCAATCTGTACGTCGCCACTTCCAATGACACTTGACAATCTTTACTCTCTTCTATGCAGCGAAGAGATTATAGTCAATCAAGAAATCTCCAAAGAAAACTCTACCGTCGCCGGTGCCACTGCTCTCTACGCCACATCCTCAAATCAAAGCAGAAACAGACCACCACGCAAATTCAGCAAGATTCGCAACCCTTCCGCCGGACAACCATCGCCACAATCAAATCACTCGCCGATCACATCAAACCCGGCTTCCGCGAACACAGCTAGACCAACTTGTCAGATATGCAACAAAGTCGGACACATAGCCTTAAATTGCTGGCACCGATCCAATCCGCGCTTCGCCCCGACCAATCCTAGATACATGAATGCATTTCTTGCCCAACCAAATCAGAATGCATCTCAAGATTGGATAGTAGACTCGGGCGCCTCCACTCATCTTACGCCAGATCTCAATAATCTGCAATACCCCGCAAACTACCAAGGTCACGACAGCGTTTCCATTGCAAACGGCTCGCAACTTCAGGTGGCTCACTCCGGACAAGGTCTTCTCCCCCTACCCGACACTCCCCGTAAGATCTACCTACGCAAACTTCTTCATGTTCCGCATTTATCTCACAATCTCTTATCTGTTTCACAACTAACTAATGATAATCCAATTTCGGTAAGCTTTGATGCTAATGGTTTTCAAATTAAGGATCGCAAGTACCACCGTCTACTTCTTCATGGGCCTCTTCGTGATGGGCTATACCAACTTCGTCGTCCCAACACCCCAAGCCCGAAGGCGCTTCACGCTACGACGAATCAAGAAACGATCTGGCATGCACGTCTCGGTCACCCTCATCATGGGCTACTCAAAAATCTGCTACCTCACTTACCGGATATTACTCATGTTTCCAATAAATTTTCTTGTGTTTCTTGTATTGTTTCCAAATGTCATAAATCATCCTTTAATAAAAATAATTCTGTTTCTCTTGCCGCTTTTGATCTCATTCACTCCGATGTTTGGGGTCCTGCACTGGAAAATTCAATGGATGGTTTTCGGTATTACGTAACTTTCATAGATGATTTTACGCGTTGTTCATGGTTATATCTTATGAAATCAAAACAGGAAACACTATCTAAATTTCGCTTACTTCTTCACTTATTTACACACAGTTTAATACCACTCCGAAGGCCTTTAGGTCCGATGGCGGAGGCAAATACACAAGCCATGAGTTCAACAATCTTCTTCAATCACGCGGCATACTAAGGCAACTCAGCTGCCCTCACACGCCCGAGCAAAACGGGCTCGCCGAACGAAACACCGTCACCTACTCGATCTAGCTCGAACCATGCTCCACGCCGCAAACCTTCCGAACATTCTGTGGGCTGAAGCCATCGCCACTGCCAATTATTTGGTAAACCGCCTTCCCTCATCCTCCATCTCTAATCAAACACCTTCTATCGCTTGCACGGCCAACACCCAACCTACACTCATCTCCGCACTTTTGGGTGTCAATGCTTTCCCTGGCTTAGACCTTACACTGCCAACAAACTCTTGCCGAGATCTCAAGAATGTATGTTCATCGGGTACTCACCCATCCATAAAGGGTACAAGTGCTTGAACTCTCTCTCAAACAGAATCTTTATTTCTCGGCACGTTACTTTCAACGAAACTGTTTTTCCTTATAAACTTAATCCTACTCAATCAACAAACACCTTCACCCCATCCAGTTACACTCCTCCCTTGGTACTAATTCCACCGTCTCTGGCCATCAATCCTATGCCATCTACATTCTCTCAAACCAATCAAATTACTGTCCCTGTTATTCAAAATGAGCACTCCACTCACATACCAACCGAGATCTCTCCAAACCAATCCATGCTCTCACCTATCTCTGATCCTCCGGTAACCAATCCACCCACACACCACATGCAAACCAGGCTCAAGTCTGGTATCACCAAACCAAAACATATTATGTCTCTCCCCACCTCCGTTCCCGCAGACCAAACACCCAATACCTACGCCCAAGCCATCAAACATCCTCACTGGCGTCAAGCCATGTCCGAGGAATTTCACACTTTACAGAAATAGTCAACTTGGACACTTGTTTCAGCTCCAGACCAAACTTCCATTCTTGGGTGTAAATGGACCTTCAAGACCAAACGTCTTCCCAACGGCCAAGTAGAAAGGTACAAAGCTCGACTTGTAGCACAAGGCTACGATCAACAATACGGAGTAAATTACACGGAAACGTTCAGTCCCGTCGCAAGAATGACAACCATTCGCATTCTTCTCACGCTCGCACTCAATCGAAACTGGGAAATCCGTCAACTAGACATCTCGAATGCTTTTCTCCACGGTGATCTAGATGAAACAATCTACATGCGGCAACCTCCGGGTTTCGTTGATACCACCGCTCCGTCCGCCGTCTGCAAATTAAACAAATCACTCTACGGGCTCAAATAAGCGCCGCGGCAATGGTTCGAGAAACTCACAACATTTCTTCAAGATCAAGGATTCAGGTTTACTCGTTCCGACCCTTCACTCTTAACCTTTCGTCGCAATAATATACAAATCTTTCTCCTCATATATGTCGACGACATTTTAATTACAAGAAACAATCAGGCCGCTCTTGCTGCACTTCTCTCCAAACTGCACGACCAATTCGCTCTAAAACAACTCAGTCAGCTTTCTCTATTTCTTGGCATCCAAATTATCCGGCAGCCAACAGGATTATTTCTCACACAACAGTACTATGCCGAGAAATTACTCAAAGACTCCGGGCTAGCTGACTGCAAGGCTGCCGATACCCCGCTGGCTCCTAAATCCAAATGCACCACTGCAACCAGCCCACCATTTTAGGACCCAACCCTTTATCGTCGCCTAGCCGGTTCTCTCTAATATCTTTCAATCACTAGGTCCGATATTGCATTTGCTACAAATCAAGCTTGTCAACACATGCATCAGCTGACCGTCCAGGATTTTCAAGATCTTAAACGCTTACTCCGGTATATCAAAGGTACCCTATCCTTCGGTCTGCCCATTACTGCATGTGATCTCACTCTACGGACATACACCGATGCGGATTGGGCCTCCGACTCCTCCGACCGGAAATCAATTTCCGGCTTCTGCACTTTCTTAGGTCCAAATCTTATCTATTGGACCGTTAAGAAACAAGTGACGGTGGCCAAATCTTCTACTGAGGTCGAGTACAGATCACTCTCAGCTGCTACCTCCGACGTCATTTGGTTGCGCCGTCTAGTTGAAGAAATAGATCTTCCGCAACAATCTCCGACATAAATTTATTGCGACAACACCTCTGCGATCGCACTCGCTCGCAATCCAGTCTTCCATGCACGGACGAAGCGTATAGAGATAGACTACCAATTCATTCGCCAGCATCTCAAGAACGGTGCAATCTCCATTACTCATATTCCGTCCAATGCACAGATAGCTGATATTCTAACAAAATCTTTCTCAATAGTTCGTTTTCAAAACATGCGTAACAAATTAACTATTCGATCACCGAATAGTTAATTTGAGGGAGGCTGTAAACGACCGTTGCATTTCTTTATCTTTTATTACTTAATCTGTCATTTACTCTGTTCTATATAAAGGCTCCTGTACACATTCTTTTAATTAATCAATTCAATAATAATTCTTTCTTCTTCTCGTTTAGCTTTCTCTGTCTCTCTGTTTCCCTGTGTTCGATTTTTCCTCTTTTCTATCAGTGGGACCCAGTCGGCAGCCTCCAGCGGCTCGGCCGCTCCGCAACGGATATACTACCATCTAAGGATTCTCTTTTGAAGATTGGCGTTGTTTGTTCCCGTTTTGGAGGTAAAAATATATATTTATTTTAGAAAAATATATATACAATATTATAATTTTTAAAAATTGAACAGTTATATTTATTACTATAATATTTTTTATAAATGTTTTTTTAAAATATTTTTATTGTAAAATTAAAAAAAATAAGCAAAATTTTTTGTCAAATAAATTTTAGTTAATTATCTTAAAAATATTAAAAAATCCTCTCACATAAACTTTAAGATAACTCAAAAAGGATAAGTCAAATGATAGATAGTGAGTTTATGATTGATTAGCCTTGTTGCATGTTAAAAAATTTGCAGCAGTAGTAGAGAGATGTTATATATATACCACATCTGCTTTTGCATGGATTGCATTGCGGAACTTCTAGAACTTTCTTAACATAAAAATAAAATATTGTAAACTACTAATAACATAATATGATGTCATATTTATAGTAGATATTATAATTTCAATAAATTTTTGGAGGAGGCTAATGTTTTAGCTACACCATTTCATTCCATTCTTTATTTTCTGTAGGTAATGTCACAATCTTGTCTTGCATTTTTCATTATATCTAACTAAATGTAGGGCTAAATTGTCATATGATACTCAAAAAAATTTTAAGTAGTACACCCTTTCTATATTAAAAGACCCAAAGTTGATGAATAAGGGAGGAAGAATAATTCCCCTCTTAGAATGTCAGAAAATTATAGAATTACATATCAACTTTGAAGAGGGAAAAACTACTTTTGCTCCTACAAGAAATAGAGATTGTTTTATCTAAAACTATTGGAAGAGAGTGGTAGCATAATCCATTTCTCAAAGTCAACAATAAATGACCTTAGAACACATGGTTTGCAAATTAGAAGATAATAATGACACTTAAATGTTTTAGCATGGATGAGATTGGAAGCATGCCCCATAAAATGTACCTCTCTTAGACTTTATGTTGGAGTTTATTCTAGGGAATACAATGGATAATGCATTGACATGTGTTAATGGTATATTTGACAATGTTACTTATTTTTTATGATTTGGTTGGGTCATACGAAGGTGAATGAGATAAATTGGTTGTATCATGGAGGTCATTGTTAAACAATGATGGATGAGATGAACTTTTATCCTGATGATAAGATGAAGTTGGATAAACACTATTATGTTGGTGATCCTCGATATGCAACAAGTTTAAAGTGTAACAAAGTCCAAAAATTGAAATATATGACCTTGACTGCAACCATTATTCAAGAGATAACTTGTTTTTTTTCCCTATGACTCCTTCATGCAACAAATTTGACCCTCAAAAGATTAATCAAAGTATCTTCACCATCTAATTTTCACTTGTTGGGATGGAGTAGAGGTCTAATTGTGATTCCATTATGTCAAGGATTTGTTCATTATGTAAGAGAATTGGAGTGAGACATTGTAGTATTTGTGGGCTCGCACTTGTTAATTAGTGTAAGGAGGTGTAGTAGTCATGATACTTTATTAATTGCAAATATCCATTTAATTAACAAAGGTGGGACATGTTCTCACAAATAATGGCAAACTATTATGTGATAGAGATTGTTATATTTAAATGATGGTCCGTAGATAATCTAAAATATAAAAAGAATTAGGAACATAAGATTTTTATGAGTTGTTTTTTTAAGAAAAATATTGTGACTTTTTCCTAATGTTGAACAAAATACCACTTATTCTTATTAAAAACACATAGACTATATTATGTCCTCCCATGATTAGAAAAATGATTGGATGGTCTTCAGGTTGTTGGTTATAATAACTTGACTATGTTATAATAATGACCAATGCAGATGAAACTTCAAAGAACTTGATAAAATATAACAACTTTTAGATCTTGATACTAAAATCCTTATTTAGGTAACTGATAAAAAAATTAGCAGTTAAATTGATATGAATAATTCTAAAAAGTTCATATTTAGGCATGTTAAAAAAAATAAGGATATAAAAATATTTGTCTCCTTAAGAGTAATCATTCACCTCAAATAATACGTGAAATGAACACATGTAGAGGCACAATAAATACCCTCGAAATTTCATATCTTCTTGGATAAACTACATGAAACTGATAGACTTCCTAAGATGATTGAAAAACGGGTCGGGTTCAACCCGGATTTTTCGGGTCGGGTCCGGGTCGGGTTTTCGTGTCGTGTCAAATATTGACACCCCTACTTAAGGAAATGGTTAGATATGACATAGGAGCGATGGTTTGAACCACTAATCTAATCCATGCTAGTTTGGTTGTGTAAACCAACTAAAGTGTTTAAATTCAAACCTTATTTGCATCATTAAAGTTAACATCACAAAAACTATTTTTTTTATTATAAATTTACCTTGAAAGATGTTTATATGATTTTAATTTAATTTTTTAAATCATTATTTAATAATTGATTTAGGCTTCGTTTGGGATAGCTTTCTTATTGTGTCTTAAAACAACTTTTTAGTACAAAAATCTTATAAAGTTGCTTTAAGAACCAATAAGAAAGTCGTCTCAAACCATGCTTTACTTTGAATGTTTTGAGTTTTAAATTTTATATGAAATACTATGTTTAGCCAAATAATTTTTTTATAATATTTATTGCAAATCAAATTCCCCTTAAATTTTATCAAAGATAAGGGAAAATTTTTATTAAAATGAGAGCAAAGATGTACTCAAATAAAATTTATGTAAATAAAAAAAAAAACTTCTATAAGAATCTAATTTCTCTTAAATTTACGGTAGTTTATTCAAATGAATGCTTATAGAATAAATTGATTTATTTTCGTGATTTATACAAACATATGTTTTCAATTTTTTATTTCATACAAATTATATAAATATTTATTGAACATTCAAATAATTAATAAATAAATAAATAATAAACTTATCGATAATTTCGATGTTTTTTTTTTTATATTTTATATTTATCTGGCTCTCCATTCTCCAGCCTCTCGCGTCTTGCATCACATCTACTTCGCTGATTCTGAACGCCAAATGGCAGCCATTTCCTCGGCTCCGGCCACCTCTGTATTAGGGTTCCGGCGAGCATTACCCAATCGTCTGGAAGCCCTTCACCTCCAATATTTCGCCTGTCTTTCACCCTCTCGACCCGTCCGACGGTAAGTTGAGTTGCAGTAAACCTAAAGAAGATTATTAATGGAAATTTCTGAGGTTTCTATGGTACTGTTTTAGGATATTCTTAATTGTTATATCCATAAGCCAATATTTACAGAAGAATGAAAGTAAAATAAGGGTTCCTCGTTGAGAATGAGCTATAAGTTGGTATTGGCCGAGAGGTAGGCTGTAACTCCTGTTGAAAGGGGTTTCTTTCTTAAAACATAGGCTGCTAAAGGGGAAGAAGATATTTAGTATTTTAATGATCTTCATTTCTCTATTATGTTCAAAAGGTGGCCACAATGGCTTCTTTCCTTCCTCAAATGGGCACAGACTGGGGTACTCTTTATGTCCTTACTCTTGAAAACCACATTTTTCACTCCAAAATGCAGTGAAACTAAAAAATGGCATGATTCATCTCAAATAGAACTCTATTTTGCGCCCTTTGCAGAAGGTAATGTCTTTCTCTCTTTCGCGTGTTTCTTTGGCAAATCCGGGAGAGACAGAAAAATAAGGCAGGTGAACAATGCGTCAATATTGGTGTAGCACGGTTCACCCGCAACCAAATACCTGAAATTTTGTCATTTATGCGTTTGGAGTTCGTTTGGAGAAGGCCTTATGGACACCTTAGAACGCCATATAAGCTGGTGCTTCTACGAATCCACTCACAATGATTTTCTAAATCCTTTTCGCTTGATTTATGCAGTTGACTTGTTAATTTTAAGCACAATTACAATGGAAAACCTTAAAATGTCTTGATTTCCTGCATAAATGACTTTAAAAGTAAGATTTGCTCCTCGAAAGACACCCTTCACCCAGACCAACTGACTGTAATTCTAAATTGCCTGACTTTCCCTTTTCATTCCTGGGCTTTCTCCTTTCTGGATCCCATCTGCGTGCTACTAAATGTTAATACTTCATTGATAAACTCTTTGCTTGTGGGTTATAAAGTTAAACTATTGCCTATGACCAATAACCTGCTGCAATTTATCAAAAACTATATTTAGAGCTTTCTTGCTTTCTGGATCAGATCTTTGGCACTCCCAAAATGCATCATCAGGAAAATTTCCATTTGTACTAATTTCTTTGTGCAGGGCTTTAAGGGGAAGAAGATACAACTGATTTTTTAGGACAAAACCTGGTTTTCCAAATTCAACCCCGCATTTCATAATCTTCGTATTGTTTGCAAATCAAAAGTGATATTGAACATCATTTATAACTGTGGCTTTTTGGACAATTGGTGAACTGTTAATCACCAAAGCCCTACATGGGGTCCTAGTTGGGTACCCATGCTTTACTCAGACGGGCTTTCGCCCACCTAATCCCACCCATGGTGACTTTCGAGATGTCATACCCACCTTACTCACCCACTTTCCATGTTTTTTGAACGCAGTCTGCCACGGATTGATGGCCTTGAGGCTTATTGTCCTTTGCTTTGATTGCAAACTTTCAAAACGCATTTCAAAATTTACTGTAGTCGTAGCATGGTTAAGTGTTGCACACTATGTAGTGAGTATTGCAGTAATATAATATATACGATGATTAGCAATGTAAATCGATTTATTCTCTGATGTTGAGTACCCACCCACAAGGCCATGAGCGTACCCATATCCGCCCATACCCACAAGGCCATTGAGTATAGGTGGGTATATGGGTGGGTGTGGCCGTGTGGTTATTGGGTACCCAATGCAGGGCTCTGTTAATCACTACTTTATTTGTCAGCAACAATCTTTTAATGCTTTTATGGCTCAAAAAAATTTATTGGTTTTGCTTAGAAAATCCGTGATTGGCTGAAATATATGGTTAAAGATAGCAACCTTTTATCGCTTTGCTTTACCATTTTGCTCTTGGTAAAAGTCTTATAAAGTTGTTTGGGGCCAAAATTTATTCCTCTATCAAGTACATGAGGGCTCTACATTCTAATTAAAAAGATGTTAATTGGGATGGTATGCTCTTAGATTCTCAATATTTGTTTGGATGGCCTCAACTTCTGAGCAGCTCATGTGGAGAGGCATTAATGTTTATCCCAGGTGTCATCTACGTTACAAGATTAATCAAAGCACATCTCACTTATTATTTGTTTTCCCTTCCTCACACCCTGATCAAACACTCATTTTGGTTTGGCAAACTCTTTCTTACTTGGCTCCACTTTGTCGTAATTGTTGCAATACATTAATGATAGTGTGAACAAGCCTAAGGTTTTATTTGGGACAACATTCATAGTGCTTTTTTTTAGCCGTTACAAAAAAGATATCTATAAGTTGAGTGCTTCCAACAACCTTGATGAATCCACTAACAATTGATTTCTCATTACATTGGTGGATTGAAAGAAAGCATTCAAATCCGTCTGGAGATGAATGAATGAGATTTGGTTGTATAAGGCAGAATTACATCTACACCGAAGACGAGCCCAATCTTCTTTGTGCTATTCGTAAACAGAGCACACCTACGTACGAGTCCTCATATAAATCTTTTTTCTTCAGGTTGGCAGATGCTACAGGGTTACAGCAGAAGAAATTTGGGGTTCGAAAACTACCTGCTTCTGGCTCTAATACCCCTAATTCCAATACCAGCAAAGAAGGCACAAGCAGCAGTGGCTCTTCAGGATCTGATCCACCACTTCTCACTAATTTAGCCGGACTTTTGGTTTTCCTCCTTGTTTTGTTGGTTGTAGGCTCCCTATTTATGTGGCTTGTTGGTTTAATTCTCCATCCACCAAGCCGCTAGAGTCTCTTGCCAATCAAAACTGTAATTTTTGCAAGCTTTTTTGCTTTGTGTGACTTCTTCTACTTAGAGTGGTTCGGTTTGGATGATTGAAGATGACATGATTAAGTGCAGGTTAGTATTTTGCATTTTGAATCTTGTTTTAATTCTCTTGAGCGGTAACGTAGGTTAAGGCTTCATTTGGGACGGCTTTCTTTCTATTTCTTAAAGCAGTTTTTTAGTACAAAAATTTTAATTTTTGTACTAGAAAATTACTTTATGAAGTGGTGAGAAAGCCGTCCCAAACGAAGCCTAAGTTTCATGGTTTTGAAAGAAGCGAAGATTCACGTCTCCCACATTGAAGCAAAGAAATTATTAGCTATGAATACCGGATGCAGCTCTGCATCTGGATTGTCAATAGCAAAATGCTGAGGGTTAATCATTTTTTTAGTGTTTTTTTTGTTCTTCTTTATTTATAATCTCTCCAAGGCTCTCTCCAACTCGTACCTAGGCTCCTATGTTGCACCGATACACCTATTTATGAAGGCGTGATGTATCCGATACACCGATACGTGTCGGATACGGGCTTTGTCGTATCCAATTAAAACACTATTTAATTTGAAAAGGACACGCAACCAAAAAATCCAAAAAAAAAAAAGCCTGTCGTATTTACTTCCGCGACTGCGAGCGAGGTTCTCTTATTTTCGAGATGGATTTGAGTCTCTTGATGATATGAGAATATTAGAATTTGCTAATCTTTCACTTGATGATCCTGAATTAGAAGCTATGATTTTTATTGAAAATGATATAGAAGTTCAAAGACAAATCATTGAAGAAGCTAATCTTATCATTCCTTCTATTGAATAGTTGAAACTTCATGTGCTAGACAATTTATGTTTATGCTTTTATTGTTGTACTATACATTTAATGCTTACTTTTATTTTGATATTATAAACTACAAGGCTATAAATGATGTTACTTTCATTTTTTTGGTAATTTCAAATATTATGTTTTGATTGCTTTCTTAATTTTTATGTATGATTTATAAATTATAATGTCGTGTCCACGCCGTACCCGTATCCCGTATCCTGTATTTTTTAAGAATTAGCGTGTCCTGTATCTTTGTCGTATCCGTGTCGCCGTATCCGTATCGATGCACATAGCTAGGCCCTTGCCTTAGTCAGCTTCTCACTTATTCTGATTCTGCATTGCATGGGAGGCTGGCTAGGAGGAGAGGTGCTTGCTAGAACTAATGTTTGGGTTGTTGAGCAGTGGGAAACTGTCTATGAGTGCTTGCCTGAGCAGGAGGAATGGCTTCTTATAATCTAGAATCCTTAGCGACTCTCTATGGTTGATATGAGACTCAATAATTTTAATGTCAGAATCTTCTATTTCATTTTTTTTTTTTCAGAGATCAATGGGAGACTTCAGTTGCTTTTTCATCCTTGCCAAGAGAACATCAACCTCATCTTCATCAACTCCCTTCGCAAGAGATTGACAGACTTTAAGCTCTAAAAAGGGAGAGATTATTCCGTGCGGATGTTGAACGCAATTTTTCGTCTGGAGATTATTTAGAATGCGATACATCAGCAGTATTGAGTAGTACCAAGTCAGGTACCGAGCAGGAATGTTGTGGCGCATTCTGATTGATTACGGATGGTGTTCGACGTCCGCATAGAATAATTTTTCCAGAAAAGGGGACGTTGTCAGTCAAAGTAAAAAATAGAAGAAATACTCGTGGAACTCATCCTGTAGAATTCGTCCTATGTAGGTTGAATTAATAAACAAAATTCTAGCTTATGAGCTAGAAGCTGCTCCGGCAAGTTTTAGTCAATGTATGCTTTACTTTCAGGCTAAGGTCTTTAATCTCAGTGAAGCGTAGCAGGAATTGAATCTGGGTCTATTCGCATGGAAGGGCTATTGTCTAATTGAAAGAAATTGGACACTTAGGTTTCGTTTGGGGCGATTTTTTTATAACATCTTAAAATAATTTTTTAGTACAAAAATTAAAAATTTTGTATTAAAAAATCGCTTTAAGAAGCAGTAAAAAAGCCGTCACAAATAAGCCATAATTGGCTTCACGAAATTAAATCTCTTCCAAGTCTTTTTTGTTATTGTCTAGGTTGACCATTTGAATAGAATTTGAGGGGAATAAAACAAAGCCATCTTTTTAAGAAAACGTTATTACGTCCGGACAAAAAAACCGGAAATCCTATACTGAGCAATACCGAGTGCTTGGTACCGAGTTCCATGTGACATGGCGCGTTGTTATTTGTCTCTGGATACGTTCGGTGTCCAGACACAATAATTACTCCTTTTTAAGGGTTGGTTTGAGATAGCTTTCGTACTGTTTTATAAAATATTTTTATGATATAAATTTTTTTTGAAAATGAAAATTTTATACTAAAAAACAGTAACAAAGTTGTTGTCTAAAATGAAACATAGGTTTTGTTTCTGACGGCTTTCTTACTGCTTCTTAAATCGGTTTTCTAGTTAAAAAAATTTAGTTTTTGTACTAAAAAGCTGCCTTAAGAAGCAGGAAGAAAGCCGTCTCAAGCGAAATCTTAGAGTTTTAACAAAAAAAGAGGTAGCAGGAATACAACTTTTTTAGGCTTTATTTAGGACGGCTTTCTTACTGCTTTTTTAAGCTGTTTTTTAGTAAAAAAAATAAAAAAAAATAGTATTAAAATACGGCCTTAAGAAGGAACCTAAATCACTCGGACTTGGTATGAACTATTGAAGATACATTTCGGTAGGATCAAGTTTATACTGGCCTTTAACATCTTCATAAGAGAAAACAATGAGTAGACGAGAAGCAACATTGCAGCCATTGCAGATGAGGAAAGTATTGAACATAGAAGTTTGCAGAGAAGGTAGAAAGAGGAATTGCAAAGAACTCAATTGAATTGGATAGCGTAAAGGTTGCGATTGTAGAGTTCATCTCTATTTATAACTTTGAAGGACAATGATATTTACACATACACATTATAACATTTGATACATACATATTGCAATTGACAGTGATACAATTAACCACCTTCATCAATGGCCTTTAACATCTTCACAAAGGAGTTTATTTTCTAGAATTTTAAAATTGGAATAAGAATTATCCTTGATATATCATCAAAAAATTATCTTGATCGTGCATGAATCTCGAGGCAAAATCAGGTTGGAAGCTTCAAAAATTAAATCTGGAATCATCTGAACACTGATTTCAGCAAACTTACAGTCAAATTGAGCGTATCGAAAGTACGAACCCAATGACACCAAAATCAACTCAATCCGAGCCCAAATGAGTCTGAATCGAAGACTTGAAGTGTTGTTGGAAGGTTCAAACCACAATTTGGGTTACCAAACGGTTTCCAAACATAACATGCTTATAGTCGAATCGAGTGGCTCGACGAGACGAGTCCAACGAGCCCAAGATCTCCGAATTCCGATATCGTTAAGACCTTCAAATGTCTGACAAGCCGTCCACGATCAAGGGATTCAATACCGGCCGTCCATTCATACTGGGCTTGGCCCCATGATTTTTCCTCTTCCAGGGTTTTCCACGTAAAAATTTGGGTGTTTTTATTTTTCTCATGTTTGTGTGCTAGATATCCGTACAACACTGAGACGGAAACTTTCTAACTCTATCGCCGCGTATATTCTAGTCCGCAACAATCCTATACTTTTATTTTTTATTACTTTTATTATTATTATTATTATTATTATTATTATTATTATTATTATTATTATTTATTAATTAAACATCCTTATGTATGTTTGATTTTTATTTTATGGCCAGCCACTTTTGTATTTTTTATGCTTGGCTACACATTGAACCTTGCAAAATTTTGAAAACTTTGGCTTAATTTGGGACGGCTTTCTTAGTGCTTCTTAAAACAGCTTTCTATATGTTGGGCTTTTTCTATTTCAAGTCCTCCTTAGGCCAATCAAGTCATTAACTAAATGCATTATCCTCATCAACGTTGGTATCAAGAGATAATTAAATCCGATTAATTATTCAACTAATTAAAAATCAAGTCATAATTAAGACACTAATCTCTAAACCTTAATCAAAATAAGTAAAAGATAAATCAGTTGTATAGCCCACTAGAAGGTTTAGGCCGGAAAGTTTGATTATGATGGAAACTGACTTGCATAAAATGTGAGTAAACGAGTATATATGTAGCAAATTAACTAATTGATTATTACTTTTTTACTATTTTTTCATAGTTTTTCAAAAACTTTTGTGATCAAAAGCTATTTCTTACTACTAGAATTGTTAATATGTTTTAGCTTTATATAGTAATTATTCATTAGTTTTATGAGGAGAAATTATTTGGTGCGGAGTCCGGATGGAAAGAACCATCTAGATTATGAGTGTACATATTGTATATACCTTATATAGAGTGTGTACATTGATTTGTACACACTGTGTACATAATGTGTAGGGGTGTCAATTCGGGTCAACGGGTCGGGTTTGGGTCGAACTCGGAACTGACCCCGCACTATTCCGGTCAACCCGAACCCGACCCGGTTTTAAAAACGGGTAAAGTTGTCGGACCTGAACCCGACCTGATTCGGGTCCGGGTCAACCCGACCCGACACGAATGACCCGGGGTTGACCCAAAATTGCTAGTTTTCGGGTCCAAAATTGGGTCAATCTTCGATTTTCGGGTCAAAATGGGTCAATCTCGGGTTTTCGGGTCAAATACAAGTTTTCGTGCAACCCGACCCGACACGAATGACCCGGGGTTGACCCAAAATTGCTAGTTTTCTGGTCAAAAATTGGGTCAATCTTTGATTTTCGGGTAAAAAATGGGTCAATCTCGGGTTTTCGGGCCAAATACGAGTTTTCGTGTCAATTTCGGGTCATTTTCGAGTTACTGGATCAACCCGAATCCGACCTAATTTTTAAAACGGGTTGATTTGTTGAACCCGAACCCGACCCTTTTCGGGTCCGAGTTGACCCGAACCTGAATTTTTTCGGGTCATGTCAAAAATTGACACCCCTAATAATGTGTACACTCATATGTTCATATGATTCTGCCAGTCCAGCTTCCGCACTTCCTAATAAATTTTGAATCAAAATATTCACATTTATGTTTAATTATAATTTCTTATAACTAATAAATCAATTTTTGAATTCCTTCATAAGTTTATGAATATTTAAAAAAATTATAAATGAACATATAATTAAGGATATTATGTATATAACAGTCAATATAATTAGAAAGTAGCTTAACAAATTATAAAAGAAATATTAACAGGATAAATGTCGGAAAGCGTATGGTCAAAAAAGTACTAAAGATCTTAATTGCGGCTTTGGAACAGATAATTCCGCGTAACTGAAATTATTTTGATTTGACCAAACTCTGATTCTTTGACCACTTTAGCTTCTATGGGCTATACTAAGCGCGTTTTCAAAAGCTCTATGCAATTCAAGCTTTACTATCATACTATGGAACAATTATTACGTCCTCCAACCGGACGCAGAGGAATGTCTGGTCGGAGGTCAAATCCCGCCAAAAAACGAGTTGTACCGAGCAAATACCGAGCAATACCAAACAATAATGAGGAATACCATCATTTGAAGAGCCAATACCGAGTTATACCGAGCTAAACCAAGAAATACCGAGTTATACAAAAGTTGTATTGAGTTTTTCCTAAAAAAACTCGGTACAACTCGGTATTTCTGGGTACAGCTCGGTATAACTCGGTTTTGATCTTCAAAGAGCGGTATTCCTTGTTAATATCAAATAATACCTAGTTGTACCAAGCAAATACCGAGTTTTTTGACGGGATTTTGGCTCCAACCGGACGTTCCTCTACGTCCTTGCACCGGACTTAATAAAAGTTCCATACTATGAACTAAATTTATCGTAATAATTATCCATTAATATCTAATTAATTAATCTAATCCACTCTAGCTAATCATGATTAAAGGTCATGACCTTTTTGTCGGATTCCAATGCACTGATTGTAAAGTAGAATAGAATTGATTAATATATTACTAATTTTAAAATAAAAATTAAACTTGTTGGAAAAAAATTATTTAATTAAGATGTATAATAAAGGAACAATTAGTAGGTCCTCCGACCGGACGTAAAGCTACGCCCGATCGGAGCTAAAATCGAGCCAAAAAACGAGAAACACCGAGCAAATACCGAGCAATACCAAACAATAACGAGGAATATCATCATGTGAAGACCCAATACCGAGTTATTGCTCGGTGTAGTTCAGTATAACTCGATATTGGTCTTCACAGAGCAGTATTCCTCGTTATTACCAAATAATACTTAGCAATACCGAGCAAATATCGAGTTTTTTGGCGGGATTTTAGTGCCAACTGGACGTTCCTCTACGTCCGATCGAAGGACCTAATAATTGTTCATAATAAAGTGGCATGTGGATGACAAATTTACACTTAGAGCTTGAAGAATAGCAACCCATGATGTATTTTCGCAATAATTCGACTTTAGGGTTTCTTTAGAGGGGTGAGCCCATACTTTAAAATCTTAAACCCCCATATTTCAAATTAGGGCAATCAAAGTTGGGTTTCGGGTCGGGTTTAGGTTGAATCTAAATCTGATTCGGCACTTTTTAACCCGACCCGAGCCCAACCCGTTTTCGCAAACGGGTAGGTTTTTCGGATCAGAACCCGACTCGCTTCGGGTATGTTTTATTAAAATATTTTTATTTAATTCGATTTATTTAAACCTAAATCAAATTAAGGTAAGATTTACCTCAATTAATTTAAAATAAATCAAGCTTAATAAGATTTATTATTTTTTAGAAATAACATTTACTTATTTCATAACAATGTTCTGAAATTCTCCTAAATCAATTAAGAACTGATCAACACAATCCGGACCCGATTTTACAAATAGGTCGAAATCTTTAACCTGAACCCGACCCAATTCGAATACGCCAGGTCATGTTTTCGAATCGTGTCAAATATTGACACTGCTATTTCAAATACAATACATATTTAGTACATTGAACCAAACAAACTCTAGAAAACTAATTTAGGTATATACTATACTCTTTGACCAGTTTAGCTTATGCAATACGCGTTTTCAAGACCTCTATAATTATCCATTGTTATCAAATTAATTAATTAATTAATCTAATCCACTCCATCTTAATCATGATTAAGCTCGTGACCTTTTTGTCCCATTCTAATCCACTAATTGTAAAGTAGAATAAAATTGACCAATTATAATATGGATAATTCTAAAATTAAAATTACATTTCTAAGAAAAAAAAAACTTTTAATTTCATTAGTAGATGCAGAATAAAGTGGTACTTTTTATTGGGTCGGTTGTGCTCAAATATAATAGCCAATGATATATTTGCACTAATTGGACTTTAAAAGGTTGTTTATTTGCAATTATTTAAAATGCAATAATATTTTGAATATAGTGTAAAATGAACAAATTGTATTTATTTATTTATTTGTTGATGTTTTTTGATATGTTATGAAATATACTTATTTTTTTTTTTTATTGGTTTTAAAGCAAATTCATGAAATTTATTTAGAGCATGATAAGAGCGATTGCAATGGATGGTGAATGGTGCATACTGGGTTGATAAACGTGAACATTGCAAATGATAGGGATATTGATTATGAATAATGTTGCCAACAATATTATGGAGAGTGGGTACATCGTGAGATTAAAGTAATATTGTTGACGAGCACAAGGATGTGGATGGCATAGGGTTGGCTTCGACACGGGACTTAATTGTGACTTGGAGCCATGAAACAATATTATGATGAAGGGATCGCGATTATGGTCATATCAAAACAACAGCGGGTTCTAGGATTTTAGGGGGATTTTAGGGGTTAGCGGGAAGAGTGAGAGTAATTTGTGAGGTTCTACGAGATCGTGAATTATGAACTTAACTAATGCTAGTGAATTTGAAACACATGAAATGACCAATTGGTGTTGTTTTCTATCAATGAAACATCTAAAAATCTAAAACTTTTGCATTTTGAATGTAATATACTCCTAATACATTAAACTAAACAACCCTTAGAAAACTAATTTCTATGGGGCAATCCTTTAGCCCATTTGCATGTCATCTAAGTTATGATTACATAACCTATCTTCTTGATCTTTCTTTTTTTTTACCATTCTAAGTAGATGATGTCAGCTGATCTTCTCTCCATATAAAAGAGATCCCTTAACCTCCTATAATTTTGAAAATGTAATATCATGATTGTTGTGAACTAGAATATTCGTGGCGGTAAAGTAAGAAAATATTTTGTCTTCGCGTTGTACAGATATCCAGCAAACAAATAGAGAATTTAGAAACACTATGATTTTTACATGAAAAACCCTGAAAAATGAAAACAATTACGGGGTCATGCCCAGTTGAAATGATTCAAATAGTATTCAAATAGATTACAAAGATCATCCCTAAACTTGAGCGCAGTCATATTACAAAAGTCTAGAAAGTGGGCTAAACTTTATGTGAAAGATGTCAGTTGGCCAGAAGTCTGACAATGGTAGAGTGGAACTCTGACGGCTGTCTAGCAAAAGTCTGACGGTTGATGGCCGGGCGGAAGTCAAGAGATGATCGGTGGTCAGACAAAAGTCTGGTGACAGTTGATGGGCTGGCGATTGTCGAGGAGGAGAAGTCTGGTGGCAAGAGAGCTCCAAAATTTCTCTTCATCTCTTCTATTCTTTCTCTTGTTTGGTCTCCCTTTCAATGAAGAATGAGAAGTCTATTTATAATTTTCTAGGAGTGACATGATTAGTAAATAAAAAGAATATAAATGGCTTGTTTGGAGTGTTTTTCATAGACGGTCGATATTGATTCCCTTTATCATAAACTGTTTATCGAGCATTTTAGGGTCTAAATGATGTCAGAATTCGATGATCTTGGGCTCGTTGGATTCATCGTGTTGAGCCACTTGATTCCAATACAAACATGTCACATTTGAATATTATTTTTTTATCTAAATTATTTTTTGAATCTTCTAAATGTGGTTCAAACTCTCGATTTAAACCCATTTGGGCTCAGATTGGATCAAATTTGGTGTCGTTGGGTTCGTATTTTTGAGATGTTCAATTCGACTGTAAGTCTAAATCCGAATTCGGATGGCTCCGAATTTAATTTTGAAAGTTTTTAATCCAAATTTATCTCGAGATTTGTGCTTGATCAAGATAACATTTTTATGATATATTTCACTAGATAAATAAGAAAAAAGGGGGTGTTGATTTAATTACCCCTCCATGGTTAGAGAAAGTTAATAATTCAATTAGTTATCCCTTAATTTGTTTTAAAACTGATTAATCTCAAATTAAACATCATTAATGATAGAATGGGAAACTAACAACTTTCTTTAATTAAAGATCATCACAATCCCCCATATGTTCATGATCATAATATACTATTTGCAATCTTCATCGTGTTTCTTTCAATATGAAATGAAAATTTAATATGTTGATCTATTTATCTTTGAACATTTATTTTGCAACAAGCAATCTATTAGCCCCATCCAAACAGCTTGCCTGCAAGTGCTTCAGCAGCATCAGCTTTCAGTACTTATTAAAAGCTGCAGATACAGTAAAGGATTGGACCACCTCATATTGAAGTGCTCGATCAGTTCATCATTAAATATATTCATTCTTGCAAAGGTTAATTTTATATATATACTCTCAGCAGTACAATAAACAAAAAAAAAAAAAAACTCATGATATCATTTTTTATTGTCACATGAGTTCTCTCAACACCAACACCAACCAGCTCTAGTAGTAGAAAGGAAGTGCTTCATCTCCCATATCCAATCCCAAGTCATCCAGATTCCACAGATTCTCCCATGTGGCATAATAAGCTTCATCATCGCTTGATTTTTCGTCGCTGCTCGCCGTCGACTTGCCATTGAATTCTTCACCTTGGAACATATATGGCATGTTGTAGATGTATGTCATTTCTTGCATCTCTTGTGCTATGACTATCTCTTCAAATTGAGGTACTTCTAATTGACATTGTTGTTGTTGTTGCTGCTGTTGCAACTGCTGCAGCTTCTGTTTTTGCTCCTGTTGTTGCTTGAAAAATCTTGCTCGGGCTCTCTCGATATTCTTCGTCGGCTTTCCTTTCTTGAAATGAGTCCTCCAGTAATTCTTGATCTCGTTATCAGTCCTTCCTGGAAGGCTTCTAGCAATCGTCGACCATCTATTTCGACAATTCGAAGTCAGTACTAAAAATACTAAGGGGAGATAAAACAATCTAGAGGGGTGATTAAGTACTACTCACCTATTTCCCCACTTAGCATGGAGGTCAAGAATGATGGTTTCTTCATGAGGGGTGATCTTGCCTCTCTTGAGATCAGGCCTCAAGTAATTAACCCATCTAAGCCTACAGCTTTTCCCACTTCTCTTAAGCCCTATATGCATTGAAATGTTTTGAAGATGATGAGTATAATATTATGAAAAAATCATGATAATGTGAAGAAAGGTATACTATGTAGCAAACCTGTTAGCCTGGAGACACAGTTCCATCTTCCTTCTCCATGCAGCTTTACATGCTCAGTGAGGAGCTTGTCCTCTTGAGGAGTCCAGGGTCCCTTTCTCCATCCATCTTCAAAGGTTCCCCAGCCATATTGGCCCTCCATACAGAAAGAGAGAGTGAGAGAGAGAGAGAGAGAGAGAGAGAGAGAGAATAGGGAATTAGCCTGTTCTATGAAGAGGTAATTGTCACTCTTACTTAGAGACAATTGGAATAGGAAGCTTTGGTTCAGATTTATACCATTTGTCTGAGAACTTCACTGGAATGTCACTGTCAAAGCATTATAATTTCCTTCCCACTGGATACTTTGTACTAGTTAGAAGTTCCAATTCTGCCATTAATGATTCAGTTTATTTCCATTGAGTGGCAGATTTTATTTTGTTTTGTTTTATTTTTTGGAATTTGAGTGCTTAAAACAAAAATTATAAATTTGATCTAGAAAAATTCAGTTTGGTATTAAGTTTCAAAATATTTATCAATTTGAGAGATTTAAATTATTTTGATCTTTTTCAAATTTGTAATTTGAACTGGCTATGAAAATATAAATCTGTAGCACTTGCAAAAATTAGCCATTAATAATAATTTAATCAGGATATTATACCTATAAACATCCACAAGTTACTTAGTTTAATTATTTTGTAAGATCAAAATATTTTGACTGAAATTTATTTTGAAGTATGTAGATTTTTTTTAAGATGATTGTAATATAAATTTGATTAATTATTTATATATTATACTCACTGTATCGAAATAAATTTAATAATATTGTAATCCATTTTAATCAAATCTCAATAAAAATATTAAATTATATAGATAGGTGATGATATTCTAGAGTATGTCTATTCAATTCTATTTGAGGAGTTGATGCAACACAATGAGAGGATTATAAGTTTTATTTAATTATTCTCTATTTTTATATTATTACAATGTAAATCAATAAAATTGGAACTTTTATAATTGATTAGTTATTCTAATATATAAACTTTATTATTGGGTTTATACTTATCAGGATGTCATAAAGTGTACATGTACATGAAACTTACAAGATGGCCAGCCATATAAGGCTTTCTCAAGTAGATCGGTCAAAATATATTAGAGACTAAGAATTTATTTGGGACAGTTTTTTTACTGCTTCTTAAAGAAGTTTTTTAGTACAAAAATTTTAATTTTTGTATTAAAAATTTGTTTTAAGAAGCATGAAGAAAGCCATCCCAAACAAAGCCTTAATCATGACGAATTAGAGTAAGAGAGCACATGAATAATTTAACTCTCATTGCAAGGCTCTGTAAAAGGAGGTCAATTCAAATATAATATGTCACCAAGCACCACATTATGCTACTTCGAAATTTGGTTAGAACAATCTGCCCTCCTCGCCCTCTCCTACGGTAATTTAAATTTTGAATGAATTTAATGGATTAAAAGGGTTCTAAAATTTTCTAATGGACTCCTTTTTTAATTAATAAATTTAGAGAAGTATTCTACTTTTTTCCTGTTTGATGGCATAATTCTTGGTTTGAGGTTTTGTAGTCAAAGACCAATACAACTCTTAGATGAGAACAAAGTATTCTCTATCATTTATATTGCATATTTATAATTTCATCTCACTTGCGCTTTGAACACATAACAAGCATTATTTGATCTTCGCTCTTCATCATTTTATCTAAAGTAAGGACAACTCTCATCTTGGGTTTTTAGTGTTTTACTTTAACCTCTTCACCTTCAAGCTTCCAATCCCTTGGTTTGAGGCTTCCCTACCACATTCTACCCTCATCTCCACACCCAAGCTTTCACAACACTTTCCCCTCCCTTCATGAAGTCATTGTTAAGGAATTGGTTCCTCCACTACAAGCTAACCCTAATTGGAGGTCCTCCAAAGTTCCTCCTCTCCATGACAACCCCTAAGCTTACCTCATCACTTCTAATGGCCTCCACACTTCAAACTATCCATTCTTAAGCCCTCTAACACATCCCTACATCTCGATCATATCCTAAGAAAGTTCATACCAGAAGCTACCTCCCCGCTAAAGCCCCTAAAAAAATGAAAAATCATTCACTCAAATACGCATCTCACACACATTAATTAAGCTCTCTTCCAATCACATACCGACCCAATTCTCCCCTAATCTTCATCATACTCACCCCATTACACATAAAAAAAGCAAGATTCATCTCCTTCATTTATCACCATCTAGCTCTATCAATTAATCTTCTCCATCATTTTCAAGTCATTCCTTAGCATTAAATCAATTGGCATAATTACACTTTAGTTAATCAACTAATTATTATTTTTTATATATTTTCAACTAAATTACTTATTGGGATATTTTAATCGTTAAAAAGTAATACAATTCTATTTTTTTTTTTAATTCTATAATAACTATAATCATATCCAATTTTTGAATAATTCATTATTATTATTTTTATTAAACTCAATTAACATTTTTTTACTATACTCTTTATCAAACATCCAAAAATTAAGTATTTTCATATCCAAACAAAATCTTAGTTTGATTTATTAATCTTCCGAGGGTCTTTTTGTAATTTATCAAAAAGTAAGCCATGCCTAATTGGAATCAAACAAAATTAAGGTCCTAATAGCGTGTTAATAAATTACAAGTCATAAAATTTTTATTCCCCTTTGTTTACTAATCCATAGCCTCAATATCTCCTCTTATTAATTAATTATTTGTACGGATTTCATTTTAATCTAACACGTAGCTCTTCCTTTTTGTGAAGCTTTGGCCTTTTTTAAGCTAAAGCCTTCACTCTTTAAGGAATAGAAATATTATCTCTTTCCTAAGGGCTCATTCTATATCATATTTTTGCATCAAAATGTGTGCTACTTTCAAGAAGTTATTGATATAAACTATAATTTTAAATATTTTTTAGCTTAAAATTATATGATTAGCTATTTTATTTCTTTTTTCTTTTATAAATATTTTATCTTAAAATTATGAATTAAATAAATACATGATTTTTTCATTCCATTTAAGTTTAAATTATTTTTTAAAAGTTAATAACGAGTTTAATAAGAACTTTCTAGAATTTTTAAAAATAATTAGTACCCACTAATTTAGGTTTATTTTCTTTTAATTTTTATGGAACCCACAAAGCCAATAGTTCGATTAGTCTAAATAAACTTTATGATACGCTTTCGGTTGTAATGATCCTTAATAATCTTTTTTTATTAATATTTTTTTGTTAATGCACAAAGTGGAATAGCATTAATTGCTAAGCATCCACTAATTTAGTACTTGATTTGTTCTTTACGCGTGAAGCGACGACCTTGACGCGTCCACAGACCGACACCTGTCCATTTTAGTAATGTATAATTTAAATATTATTAAATGATATTTTATTATTAATAATAATATTATTATTATTATTATTATTATAAAGTAAATGAAATTTTCACAATTATATATAACTAATTAACTATTAAGCCAACCATTAAAATTTTGATAAATCACCTCCATTAAGCTCATAATGTTGAGATCTCTAATTTAAGATTCTATTTGGGACAACTTCCTACTATTAGGCTAAACGGTCCACGATATTGAATCCTTCTATCGTGGAGAGTTTATCAGGCATTTGAAGGTCTTAATGATATCGGAATTCTGCAATCTTGGGCTCGTTGGATTCGTCTCATCGAGCCGCTCGATTCAACTATAAGCACAACATGTTTGGAAACCGTTTGGTAACTCAAATTATGGTTCGAACCTTCCAATAGCGCTTCGAGTCTTTGATTTGGACCCATTTGGGCTCGAATTGAGTCGAATTTGGTGTCATTGGGTTCGTATTTCTGAGACGCTCAGTTCGACTGTAAGTTTGTTGAAATCAGAGTTGAGATGGTCTCCGAATTTAATTTTTGAAATTTCCAGCTTGATTTTGCATCGAGATTCGTGTCCGATAAATATAATTTTTTGATAACATAATGGAATCGAAAAACAGAACAAATAAGAAAACTATCCAAACTAAAACTTAATAGATAAAGAAACCCTACAATTGGCCATCCCCTTCAATACTTACAAAATATTTTCTTATTTCAATCTTAGCCATCAGCCAACTAATCTCACTTGCATCATAGTTAATTCACAAACCTCGCATATGATGTAATTATCATCATAAAAGTCATCTGCGCTGAAGCTATCCCCCCATTTAAGACCGACCGCACAATATTGCTCTCGATTCCACAATGAAAACCAACCCAGAAAAGCCAAAAACAACGCTTAACTAGGGAGGAAGCAAAGGGAAAACCTATACCACCCAATTAAAAAAAATTACAGTGAGTAGGACAAAAAGGGGTAGCAAAGCAGAAAAGCAATAAGGACTCAGGCTGTGATCCTGCAAAAGCCCGGTAAAACCATCATAGTGATCAGTGAGAAGAGTCCCCTGGTTGCCTAAGGAAAGACCGTCCTGAGAGTAAAAACCCCCGGTTGCCAGAAGATAAGACCGTCCGTCCAAGGGGACTAGGATCAACAGCTAACATCATTGTCCTTCCAAAATTGAGCGTCTCCAAAGCAGTAAGAAGAGTTTCCTGGAAGCCAGAAAATCCATCCAGAAAAACAAGGAAGACGCAAAGTCGTTGAAGCGGCAGCACGAAAGAGTGATATGTGAAGACCAAACAGAGCAAATGTTCCCAGCATATAAAAACAATGAATAGCAGTTCATTCCAGAAAACCAAAACAGGAAAATCGAACCAAACCAATCACTGAGTAGCAGGAGAAGAAGCCAAAAGTTTCCATTTAGTGGCTTTGAACCACAGCCCTCTTAATGGTAGCAGTGACTGTATTAGCACATTCAAAACGATTACCAAAAATCCTATCATTTCTTGCTCGCCAGATGTAGCAAATAGTGGCACATAAAGAAAGTTTAAGGAACTGCTTGTGAATTGAAGTCATCGGTTTGTCTTCAATAAGGTCAAAATTTTGCAAAAGGATGGGTCTTAAGAGCATATCATCAATCCCACCTAAAACCTTGTTTAAGATGCTAAACGTGAAGTCACATTCAAAGAAAAGGTGAGATTGAGATTCAGCCACCAAATGACAAACAGCGCAATTGGGATTAGCGGAATACCACGCCTAATCAGAGCATCCTTAGTTTTGAGACCCTGTTTAAAAGCAAGTCAAACATAAGAAGAGTACCGGAGAGCAGACCTCTTATACCAAATATACTTATGCCAGTCAACCCGAGGGAGTTGGGAGTGAAAATGAAGATTAAAGCTCCTGTTGTTGGGATTATCAAGACCATTCCAGAGATTACCCAACAGGTTTGTAGATATGAGAACCTTGGTAATTTCATTAATAAGATTAGGGGGGAGCCAAGGAGGCAAATTCCATATGTCGTTATTCACCATACTGCTCACTCTAATATTAGAAAGAGAGAGGATCATACTGTCAGAGAGCGACAAGCCATACATTTCCATAATGGACTTACCATAACACCATGGATCCCACAAGAAGGAGAGGGTGCTGAAGCCATGGATCCTAAGAGAAAGACAGCTTTTAATATTAGTAGCCACGGCACAAAGATGCTGCCAGTAAGGAGAGGTGTGCTTGTTGTTAGAATTCCATAGCGATTTGTATTTAGACTTCCACCAGTGGAAGAGAATGTTGTCATTGTTTAGAAATCTCCAGATAAGGGATGAGCTAAAGGTATTGTGGAAAGCTTCAAAAGATGGTATACCAAGCCCACCAAACTAATTTGGCAAGCGAGTTCCCTTCCAAGAAACCATAGGAAGCTTTCTCTCATTAGTTTTCCCAAAGTACAGAAATCTAGAACATATTCTAGAAATATGTTTACTGTAGCTTTTAGGTAGAATAGATCCCCTGATCCAATATGCAATGGAATTGCAAATGGTGTATTTAGTAAGGAAGCTTTCTAGTTTAACTCATGGGAAGAGCTGTGAGAGGTGAGGCTTCGGGTCTCATTCGCGTGAGACAGGCAGAGGCGATACAGGAGTCATTCGTGAGTGGAGAGCAGGCAGAGACGGTGTGGGTCCACTTGCGTGTGCGAGAGTCAGACGGTACAGATGAAGACGGATGTCGAGTCAGACACATTCATGAGACGAGCACAGGTAGCCTGTGTGGATCGTTCACGTGCGAAATCCTCACGAATTGTTACAGCCCATTGCTCCGAGATGTCTTTCCACTTCTGGTTGATTTGGCCACCCTATGTGGGAACTTGGAGCCACAGAATAGCCGAACCACCTCGTGTTGGAACATGGGGCAACAAGGTGTGTCCTATGTGTTTGATTTTTCTATGAATATTAAACTGAGTGATCAATTGGGGGCAATGGGCTGATTTTACTTTACCCCACATACACCCAACCAAGCAAAAAAATAGTTCTCTTGCATTCACTTTACAGAAAACCAAACAACCTCAAAATATTTACTTTATACTACATTCACTTTACCGTCAACCAAACAACCCAAAAAATAAAAAATACTAAGAAAACAATACACTAACAGCATAGAAATCACATAGAACAAAACAAGTAATATAATTGAAATATTAACAGAGATAAAATGATGAAAAGTTCAATAGCTAAAGAGTAATTTGCATCATAGAATTCAACAAAACTTGAACATAGATAAAAAAAAAGTAGATAGTCAAATGCTTCAAACTGCAACAGCTCATTAGTATTCAGACAAGCAAATAATGGAAAACCATAAGGATTAAAATCCTAAAACTTGTGAATTAATAACCTCCCTTGAGATCATTAACAACATCATATGGAATGGGTGTGACTGTCTCTAAAGTTGCACCTTCCACCATGAAACCAGGTTTTGGTCCTTCAGGTTGCCTCTTTGTGCTAATGATTTCGCCGCGAGCCTTTGCCTCTGCCTTAAGCTCGTCATTCTTCTTCTTCCTCAATCGGAATTCTTCGGCGCATCTGGAAGGTTGTACGTGCTCGACACGCACATGGATTCGTTTCTTGATGATTCTGTTCCCTACCTGATCATTATATGAAATAACATAATGTAAGTTGAAAATGGCACCAGGCCAGGGATACAAGAAATGTCAGAAGTTTTCTACTCTTCAGGAATACTGGAATAATATTTCGTCAGATCAGACTTTGGATGAAATTCATTTCGGAGGCTGCTAATCAACTCATTTTACAAAAGTAACCAACACCTGTAGAAGGAGAAGAGTAAACGGAATTGTGGATGCATTGGTTGGGTGAAATTGTATAGCGTGGAATTGAATCTGGGTGTCTTAATTGTTAACGACTGGTCTAGTTTTATAGAACAAAATCTAGAGTGTTAAAGGATATAAAAGGTGAGTAAGCCGCTTGCCTTCTGACAAGACAAAAAGAAGGCTTAGTTTGGGAAAGTTTTTTGGCCATTATTTTTCACTACTTTCAAGAAAGTTTTATACTAAAAAGATGCTATAAAAAGCAGTAAAAAAATTGTCCCAAAGGAAGCCAAAGTCATTGCGTCAACAAGACAAAATGAACTGATTACATCTTGCATACATGCAAGGTGGAACGCCAGGTGGCGAGGCAGCATTGGCGTTGATAGAGGGATGTTAGTACTTCAACTGTGGAAGATGAGTTAGTTCTCCACGATGATAATTTGAAATAAGATCAAGCAGAAAGAACATCAGGAGTTGAAGAAATGATAAAGCGCACAAGAAAACAAGTTAAATCGAATACAAGTAAAAGAGTTTCAAGTTATATAGAAGTAAATCTTTAGGATGAAAAAATAAAATGAATGTGAGGAAACAAAAAGAGATGGAGTGCAAAATAGCCGTAAAGTTTTATGGGAAAAATGAGCATGAAAAATGGCTAAAATGGAATAATTATTAAAGCAAAAATTAGATATTCCTAGGTTATAACTTCTCTTATTTATTATCTGCAATTTCCAACTCCCCTTTTCTTAATTAGCTAATTTTTTAACCTTTAAAGCGAGTACAAAGTTCAATTCTAGCAAGCACATTTTATTTTTACTGTGGTTTTTTGTTGTAAGAATTTTTTTGCAGTCCAGTAGCTCAATATCCTTCCAAATTTAATTTTAGCCTTTATTTTATTTCATTTCATTATCCGTGCTTTTGCCATTTTATAGATCCTACTGACATTTATGATTTATCAGCAGATTAGCATCAGATAACTAGAAAATATATTTAGATATGAACTTGTCAAAACCCGATGCATGCAAAGTTTTCAACAAAATTAATTTAGAGTTTGAGTAAGCAATGTTCTGTTTCCAAAATCCAAATTCACTAAATAACCAAATCCCGTAGAAGAGGAGTGGTCTTAATTTATTCCTAAAGACAATTCTTCGATCAAAATCAATGTCATCAGAATGACCCTGGATATTTGGAATAAGGCTGATGAAGATGACAAAGAAGAAAAAAAGGAAATTCACTAAACAACCACATCCCATAGAATTGAAGTGGTTTTAAGTTATAACTTGTTGCGGGCTAGAAAATACGCGGCAGTAGAGATTTAATTATGCGTCTTAGCGTTGAACGAATAACTAGCTCACACACAGAGAACACAAGATTTTTTACGTGGAAAACCCTTAAGGGGAAAAAAACCACGGGGCCTAGCCCAGTTGAAAATGATTCCACTAGACTTTGAGTCGGTTACAAAGTACTGAACACCTCAAAGGGTGATCAGATTACAATCAGTTACTTAAGTAAGACGTCGGGTCTTTGGCAGGACGTAAGGACTGGACGTCGGGCCTTGAGCAGGACGTCGGGACTTTGGCAGGACGTAGGGACTAAGCGTTGGGCCTTGAGCAGGACGTCGGGTCTTCGGCAGGACGTAAGGACTGAATGTCGGGCCTTGAGAAGGACGTCGGGACTTCGGCAGGACGTAAGGACTGAACGTCGGGCCTTGAACAGGACGTCGGGACTTGACGTATCATAACTAAATACAATTCTTCATACATTCATCAAAATCATTGTCATCAGAGATATTTGGGATAAGGCTGATGATGATGAAAAAGAAGAAAAATTGATGATGATGACAGTAAGAAATAAGCCCCAATCTATCTATTTAGCTATCCTTTTACCACTGCCCATTTCTCTCGTCATATTTCCTCTCTACTAAATACACTCAAATCAGGAAAGGACTCGTAAAAATTAAGGAGAAGAAAACCAAGGCTTGACCCAGGACAGAAGGCATGAGCAAGAATCATTCTATTATCAACAAGTGATTTCTAACTTATAGTTTTCCTTATCTTGGCTATAGTGCCCTTTCTCCTTTCATGCTATTCATATTGGGCTTATCAAGGAAAGAAGGCGTAAGCAAGTATCATTCTATATTTCTATCATAAAAAGGTAATTTCTAACTTATAGTTGTATTTTATCCAGCTTATAGCCCCCCTTTCTTCTTTCGTGTTATTCATATTGGAAACCCTAATTGCATGAAAACACAAGCCCTTCTGATAAATGATCATCAATCCTCATTATAAGTCTTCTATGGAAACTCCCAAGGTATTAAGCATTCTTACCCTCAACTATGAGCCCAATTAAGGTCAAATTTTGTGTTTGTTAACTAAACCTACAAGTTTTTACAATCAAAACTACTAAAATGAATTTGAGCTTAGAGCAGTGGAAAATCCACTCTCGAGATTTGGGAACATTACTTAAACATCTAGACATCAATATGTGGTTTTTAAGTCTCATCATGTGGAGAAATTATTCTATGCGGACGCCAAACGTAGTTCACTGTCCGGAGACCAACCAGAATGCGCCACATCAGCAGTACCAAGCATGGTACCGAGCGTGGTACCGAGCTGCGGTACTGAGCGGGTGTGACGTGGCACATTCTGGTTAGTCTCTGGACGGCGTTCGGCATCCGCACATAATAATTTGCCCATCATGTGATGTCTTCAATGATTGCCATTCCAAGATCTTTTTTTTTATTGAAAAAGCTGCCCATTACTAAAATAATACTTGCAAGATAATTGAGATGATGATGGCAACAATTATTTTAGTTGGTGTTCTCTTAGTCTTGACTTGAGATGATGATAGAGTTGGCAACAAGAATCCAAATGTAGGATTTCAAAGTTAAATGTTTTTTACTTAAGATCCTCAAAAACAATGAACCTACATGTAAGGCAGCCTAACCCTAGTCCGATCAAAAGACATAAAAATAATATACCTATGCATAAGTGTCTACACATCCAAGTGCACATAATAAAAATGAAAAAAAAGGTTAAAAATACATTCAGAACATATCTGGTGCCCACATACTTTGCAAAAAAACAACAATGAAGAAATCAAATTTCATAATCTTAGCTGCATATCATAGCTTACAACTCTCATTTATCTTCTATAGAAACAAATTACTAGCTTCTTTGAAGTTTGAAGTAAGAAAAGCTCCAAGATTATTATATGAAATTTAAAATGAAAGAGCATGTGGCAAGGCCAGAGCAATATAAACAATTGTCCAAATCTACCTAGAAGTATCGAAAATATACACAACAGCCATTTGGTATCACCCTTGGCTCATAATTTTTCAAGAATGCTATCAGTCCTTGCAACACAATAAAAAAAAAAAACAACTATGATCATCATCACCATCAACATTGAATATACCCCAAGCATCTAGGCTGGCTTTATGAATCCTCATTTTTCATTCAATCACGATGGGTGTTACCTTAATGCTCCTTGAGGTGCTACTTGAGATGTTGAGCATATTCTACATAAATCATTTTGAATAAATTTTATCCATGTTATCTTCAGTCGAATCATTTTCTTTCATAACCCCCCAACATTAATTTTATTGGTCCATCACTCCATCTAATGATTGCATTTTTCATTATTTGTTGTACACATAAAAAACATTTAAAATCTATTTTAAATTACTTTATGTTCATAGATGTCACTTCAACCATATCTCCATATAATTATTCTTTATTTTATCTATTATAGTTATGCCACATCCATAGCAACATTTCTCATTTAAGACATGCTTAATCAAACATTAACTACATTCTACTACTCAATATTATACTCAGTAAAGCATACTCAAACTAATTACACTTTTAAAAAAAATTTCTACTTTGCGACTCCATAATATCCTCTTATTGCATAATACTCTAAACGCTTATCTAGTGCAACCTCCCAACCTTAATTATAGAAACTATATCAACTCAAATAGCTAGTGGATACTTAAAACATATCAAATATGTGATACAAACATTTTTTTTTCTTATTATTCAATGGTTAAAAGATGCCATTATTTAATTATTTGCCAATTCTTGGTTGAAGGTAACTTCTCAATAGCAATATTTATAAACAAAAATACAGGTAATATGAAAAAAATACGTCCAACTTAAAACATAGATACGCACAGTTTGAAAGGTAAGCTGCAAAGAAACAACCAGCAAAACTTATTTTACAGACAACTCAAAGCCAACATAGATGCATGATTATTATTTAAGCCAAGAAGCAAAGAAACCAAACAACATCCAGGATTCCACAAAAATCCAAAGAAAAAAAACAAATTTTTAACTGCAGAAACACGAGGAAGCAAATCGGGATCTAATTGAGAAGAATATTACCTGCTTATTGATTTCGACCCCAATAGCCCTTTTTGTGACGTTCCACACTCTTCCAGTCCTTCCATGGTAGAATTTGTGAGGCATGCCTTTGTGTATGGCGGCATTAACCTTGACGTCAACGTACTCTCCGATCTTGTATGTCCGAAGGTACGTCGTCAGAGGAACGTAACCCTTCTTCCTGAAGGGCCTCGCGAAGAGGTCTCGCGTCCGCGAACGAAGCCCGTGCCCTGCCGGCATCCTAATCCGCCGCTAAGCCTCCACTTGAGAACTCGAGAAAAATAAAAGGCGGAACGGACTACGGAGGAAAACTGGGTCTCCTAGGGTTTGAGCTTTGAAGAGGGCATCAGAAGAATAGTAAAAGACGGAAAAGCCAGTTGATAGCCATATAATTACGGTTAAGGGACTGTCTAATGTAACACATCTCCGCCGTTCGATTTGCGCGACCTAGCCATCTGATTTAAACATTAGTTATTGTTTGTTTGATATTCTACCATTTTTAATCATCTAAGTGGCGATAAAATACTCCTCACAAGTATGAGAAATTATTAGGTACTGAGTCTGATACATTCGAACTCCAATATGTATAAGTCATATGGTATGTATAAGCCACATGATTTGTACATATTGGAGTCCGAAAATAAGTTATGTTCAGACTCCATACATAATAATTTCTCTAGAAGAAGGAGATTCAATCATGAAAAAAAAGACAGTATTGCAATTTTAAGAGACATGTTCTGTAATTATAAAAGGTCTTCATAGCATTACTCCTTATTTTTTATGCTTATTTAAAAACATGCATATATGAAGATGATATGGTGCATCTAAAACAATCAATATTGTAAACTCTCACCAGATTGACAAATTGGCTATTTGGTTGTGTGAAAAAGGAATGTTGTGTAAAAAGAATACGATGTAAAAGGAATACTTTGGAACTATTTGGACGAATGAAAAATAAATGCATGACTCGACTTTTTTTTATTTGGTTTGAAGTAAAATGAATGCTATGTAAATTGTAAGAAGGTTGTGAGCGAGATGGCAGAAAGAGGGCAACAAGGCTATGGGGTAGTGGGAAGGATCAAATTATGATATATCTCATGAGATAGCTTTAAACTATTTTAGAGAATTTTGAACCAAATTTTCAGTAATTTCCATCTCAAAAGATATGTCAACTCCATGAGATAGCTTTAAACTATTTTAGAAATTATGTACATCAAGCAATTTAAAATCAAGGGTAGAAACTTTAGGGATAGATTCTAGGGCTATATGAATTGTATTTTCAACATATTTATAATCCAAACAATGCAATTTGATAAGACAAACTTAACGATGTTAAGAACACAGATCGAAATCCAAATGGACATACATCAAGCACGCAAAAGTATAATCAAATGTTATTTTAAACGTTAATTGATAAGTCAAATGTTCTACAAAATGAGCGACTTAATGTGAGGAATCTAATAAGCCTAAAATAATTGAATTTTGATATCATTGATGAAATGAAATGCACAAAAAATATAAAATTACTTTTTTAACCCTTAGATGAAATATCTGAAACATTTATATAAATTACTAAGTTGTAATCTCTAAAAATTTATAAATAGGTTATTTTTATACAATCAAGAAAATCTTTTTATTGGAGATAATTTATGAACTATATAAATTTTGTTGATATAAATATTTTAGTGCAAAAAGAGAAGAAAATATGAGGGAAGAGAGTATTCATACTATTTTTTAATGGACAAATTTTCAGTCTAAGCATCATTAGGAAGTTAATTAAGAAGATAAGCATAATTAAAAAAAATAAAATTAGGCATAATCGCCATTACATTCGGCGATTTAAGCTGCCAACTAAAGTCGCCCATTGTATCGACGACTTCTAAGTCGCCCGATTAACGGGGGACTTACGTAATTTAAAAAAATAATAATAAATTTTTTTATCGCATAATATCATTAATCACCAAATGCAATATCAGTAGAAGTCTACATAATACATAATCAAAACATATCATAAACTAACGTCTCCTACGTCCTCTATGGGGTAAAGCATCACTGCCTGGTGTGTAATGTTGTGGTCGACGTACAGGCCTGTCACGTAACACATGTTGCTCAACCCCAAAGATGCCCTCCTGCTCTGCCTCAACTGTGCCTGCTAGAGTACTGTCTGGAACATGCTCATGTGGGTACCAGCCTGGTGTAGTCGGCTGAGTAAAGAAAGGCTGAGAAGGTCCCAAAACTTGATACGATGATGGTCCTGCATCAGTAGATTGAGGCTCGCCTATCACTGGACTGAAGGACTCGTATGGATAGCCTGCATATCCATGCTCAGAGTATAGGTAATCAGGGATATGAAGCTCTCTACGCAAATCCACTGTCATCTCAGCAATTCTCTTAATAACACTATCGACATTGCTGTAGTCATTTGAACCAACCATAGGTAACATTGCCCTCTCTGTCTCTACGAAGAAATTAAGCTGAGTGAAAGGAAAATAAATAGAACTTCAATAATGTTATAATTATTAAGAAATGAAGTATATAACGCATTGATATTACGTACCAAATATCGCTCTGAAGGTGCTCTGGGGTAATATATAGTTGTTGGTGTTGTTGGTGGCTTCAACATGTATAATGTCGCCCAGGACCTTGACCACTGTAAGTACTCGTGAATGAAGTGTTCACTATCAGGTCCCGCAGTAATTCCTTCAATGATATATGCTCGTCTATCCTCCCACAATCCAATGTAAGGAAGGTGGTACACCATCCAATCTGTATCAGCTTTACCACGTCCATCAACTTGTGCAAATTTTAGCTCCATTGGTTGAACATCCGTGGTCGGAATAAACTCAAACTGTCTAACAACTCTATCGGGGAGGTGCCACTCCACTCGAGTCCAACAGACCAGAGCCACACGAGCCAACCAGATAGCTTCTCCTGATAAGCATATATCAGTGACCTGAGAACGAACTTCAGTGGTGTACGGCTCCCAAATCACCTAGCCAAACAAATAATTGTATATCAACGAACTGAGAGGGAATTTCTATATTACTAAAAAGAATACAAACCTGGTTGTCTAAAAGTCCATCTAACTCATCTCTATAGCTGCTGAGGCAATATGTTGGGAGCTGCCTTATGAATTATTGGTTCCACCTACAAAAAACCCAAAAATTTATATATTGTTATTATTAGAAATGAAAATATATATTATTAGCATTTTTGTTGTTGGTTACCTATAGCCAACAGAAAGTCCATCCAAATTGACATGATGTGGGACATGAAGTGCAGGTTGTCCAACATGAAGTCGCTCCCAACACCAAATATAAAGCAAGTGAATGCAGCCTGCAATATTGGCTCTCTTAGGCTTAGTAGCCTCAGCAAGTTCCCGGTATAAGTGGGCTAGTACTGATCCCCCTATAAAATATGTGCTGAACAACCCCAAGTCCTCCAACAAAGGTAAGAACCTCAAATGAATCTCACATCCTGAGGTGTCCGGGACTAGATAAGTTCCCATCATAAAGAAAATGTATGCACGAACATGCCGCCAAAAATCTATCTCGTTCAAGTCCAAGTAGGAATTCCTATAGAATGTCCAACATAACCATCTCAAAGGTAGGCAAGTCTGAGCCTGTGTCTGGCCCATTCTGAACTTCGAAGACTCGTGGGTTGAATGGATCTTGATAAACAACATCTCGCTCAGGAAGCTGGCCTAATAAATCATCACAGCAATCGGGCCAACTAGCCCATTGTCTACCGGCCCCTACAACAATGTTCCCAACCAATGCAGGCCCATCAATCTGAAGGCCCAATATCAGAGCAACATCTTGTAATGTAATACTCATCTCACCTACAGGCAAGTGAAATGAGTTTGTCTGTGGTGACCAGCGCTCAACCAAAGCTGTGAGAAGATTGTGATCCATCCTTATGTATCGCAGCTGACTAACGCAGTCCAATCCTAAGACTCGTAGGCCTTCCATAAATCTGGGACAATTTATTGGCCACTCATGAACCATAAGCAGATGCGAGACAGCTTCCAAAACTGTCCCCTAAATGTCAAGAAGATATAAGGGAATTAGTACAATTAAATAAAATAATGATAATCAAACCTCATCCGGATGAGCTGCTCTGTGTGACCCACATAATGAGGCAATGCTGGGATTTATATCTATTGTGATATTTTGCTGTTCTTCATCAACCTGTGGTATAGGTTTTTTAGGTTGACGTTTTTGACGTACAGGTTGAGTTTCTGCCATATTACGTATAATTCGACATAAAAAAAATGTCATGTAAAATAAATGAAAAAGAAAGCATAAAGAATAAACTTGCAAATCAAACATAAAAAAAATTATCTCAACTCGACTATGTTAACTTCCTTTGTTCTTATTAAAAAAAATTGCAGTTGTAGCCTCTAAATAAATAAGCAACCATAGATTTTTTTTAATCATTTCTTCATCACCATATTGAAAGCAAGTTGGAGTACATTAATACATAAATTGCAAATTTTACCCAAACAAATCCTTAACAACTAAAACCAAAATACAAAGTAATATTTCATAAGCACTCACACATGGTTCGCACGACGGGATGGACAGATAGTTCTATTATGCCCAACTATATGGCAGTAACTACACAATCTGGTATTTTGAGGTCTTCGTTCATCCATTGTGTTTCTGTATCGATTAGTCTTTGGTCTGCCAGACCTTCTAAAGTTTGGAGGGCTCAAAGGAAACAAACCAGTAGCAGGATCATGATTTGGCCAGTATTGCTTATCCGGTATTGTGTGAAATTCTTCTAAGTATGTCATCTTTAAATTTTTCATTGTGTAGAAACAAACTCCAGGTGACTTATCCTTACTGATGCAGTTGAACTTATGACATGAGCACATGGCATGTGATAAATAACAAGTTTCCCACAACTACATACACTATTACCACCCGGTGTAACGTCCACACGGTATGATCTTGAGGACATATCAAAAACTTGAAACTCATGCATATTAATACATCTAGGCTCTGGTATTCTTCTTGCATCGTTTTCAAGTTTTCTTAATTTAACTTGGACTCGTGGGGAAAAAATATTATTACTCTGATGTTCTTCAGTTTGAATGAGCTCGAGTCTACGAACAAACATTCTAACAACATTATAATAAATGGCAATAATAAGTGCTTGCACCAGTAAGCCATGATTTCTCTTCAAAATTCCATTAAATGCTTCGGAGGCGTTTGTTGTCATTACTCCGTAACGGAATCCACCATCAAATATCAACGACCACTTTGAAACATCCCTTTCAACTAACCATTAATGAAGTTCAGGCTTAATTAT